CTCTCTCTCTCCTTCTCTCTCTCTCTCTCTCTCTGATGTAATCAAAGAGTGCAATTCAAAATTATAGTAAGTCTTTATATGAATTTTTAGACATTTATGATTCTACGCCACTGACAGCATATCAGGATCCACGCAGGTAGTAAACATATATGTATATCGTATCGCTGGCACGTACACATAAGTAGTCTTCTGTCACCTTTGGCTACCGAGCAAACATTAAACGATTTTTAACCACCGATTGTGCTCCGTCACGATAAGCCAGAAGGTTTCTCGCACTGTCCTCCGCTGTGTCTTCATTCCAGAGCAAATTCGAAAAATATCATCTGTTTAAGAATATCAGTTAAAATCAAATTTACGGAATAATTACAAAAGCTAACAACTGAAAGATAATATTACATTTACTTACAAAGATGAAAGAACCAATTAATATTTTCCTTATAAAACAATAAATATTTATACATAAATGACAATAATTCTTCATATAAATTTAGATTTTTTTGACATTTTGCAATAGTACAAAGTTCCGCTGCTTGCTAATTGGCGGACAAATACGCGACTTTTTTCGATAAACAAGAATTCGTGATGAATTAGCAGACAAATACGAATGTAAAACAGAAAAATATACTGTGTTGTTGCGTCTCTTTCTCTGGCAAAAGTAATTAACGATTTAATAATGCTTAATTCGCACGTCGCGCCTCCTTATCCGTAGGATAAGATTGCTGTTTCGATTAGTTATCATCCGCGGTTGATAAGTACTAATTGGTGTCGCATATTCGCTTATCGCGAATCGTTTATATTTATGTAAATAATCGTTAATTGAGCCTTATCAACTGCCCAATGTTTCTTTATCGATATGATTTCAATTCCTCGCTCGCTTACACAGTACTAAAGTGATACCACTTAGAACACTTCACACAATGTGAACACTTTATGCAATGTTAAGCAAATAGTGGAATCGGTGAGATAAAAGTCTTTTCTGCGGTTTCTCAAAGATAGAATATTTTAAATTTCTGTTTATTTATTGCTATACGATGTTTATTTATTGCTATTTATTATATACGATTTTTATAAGCTAACATAATAAAACGTGATATGCGATTTTTATAAGCTGATATAGAAACCATTCAGTATAATTTTATAGTTATAAAATATATCAATAAACTTTTAGCTTTTTTCTTTAGACTTCTTAGAATTTTATTCTAGTTTTTATTGTACTTTTTTGTTTATCAAGTTTCTGTGCAAATTATAAGCAGATTATAAAGATTGTAAGAAATTTTTTAATACATAAATTTTCAACAATACAATTATAATCGTGCTCTATATTTTGTTGAAAGCAATTACTGTATTTATTGTGGAAAATTTGAGGTCGCTTTACTTTCTTATCATACTTTAATTCGATATTGTTTGAATTATTGATACATCTTATTGATTAACATGCGCGTAATAATCTTGAAAATTGTCATGTGTCGATCGAAATATTCTATAAAATTTTATATCTAATTAATTACTTAAATATCTATATTTTTGATCTTTTATTAATATGATTGCAATGTGAAGTAATGTAATATTGTTTGTATCTAATATGGATAGTACACAGAGATACGTATGAATCACTGTAACTATATCGGGTAGATGGCTTGTAAATGATGATTTTATTGGTATAAATAGGTTCATGAAATGATCGTTTTATTGCTACGATAAAAGTTATCATAGTCATCAACTACATCGCTCCACTTTAGATTAAAGAGTGATAATAGCAAATAAAACCATATAATCGATTTATAAGTTCTTCAATAAAATAGTGCGCGCGTTTATCGCATCTTGATATTTCATTATTGTCTTTATCAATAGCAATTTCTTCAATTTGATACTTGATGAAAATTATTTCTTTTTATACTATGAAAATCTTATTATTTTTACAATTTCAATTTTTTATTGCTTATTTATTGCATTACAATATGCGTGTATCAGTTTAAATATACAAACACACTTGTGTGTATGTGTGTGATATATTCTTAATAATTTTTATCGTATATTTTTATTAAAACTTAACAAGATTTCCTTAAAAGATGTATTCCATCGCTTATTTCTAGCTATCATTTCAAATGCGGAAATTAATCGCGCGATTTCAATAATCAGTTCGACGATAAGTTTTTCACGACGTCGTCAGACTCGGCACAATTACGCGAGTTCCGCTCCGAAGGGTGCAATTATGCCGTTTAACGAATATCATGGCGTCTTTTGACTCGATGGTCCACCCTCTCTGTATCCAACGTTCGACCTTCTCACCCTTCCCCATCTCTACCTTACGTACTCTACCAGGGAAGTCCTATTCCGTAATTAGAATCTCCCAGCCCCCTAGGAGGCCTCGCGACCGACTTCGCCCCCTCACCGGCCATTACTTTTAATGGCGTTGTTAATGAAACTAGGTGTCGCCAAATTAACCTCCCATTCCAGCTGTGCTCAACCGTGAACGAAAGCGCTGCTCGGAAAAACGTGTAATTAAATTTCTCTAATTATGTCGCTGTGTGATTATCGCCGATAATAGACTACTGTTTTATGAGTCAATTTTGGTAGACTTTTTGTACAAATTTGTAAAGGAATACCGCGAGAAAGCTTCTAGAATTTGAAAGTAATATTTCTTGAGGTTTCTTTCAGTAACATTAATATATTGTATAAATATATAAATGAAAGAGGGTATATACATAATTAAAATAATAAACATTTTTTTTGCAACTACTGGATGTAGATTATTTTATGGTTTTAATTTTCTAAAATTGCTTTCGAATTCAAGGGAAAAATATTTGCACAAAATTTTTACCGTATTTTTCATTCTCTTGAGGATAGTATCAAAAACTAAAAATATATTCGCGATATATTGTAACACGATAAAAATTCGAGAAAAATTTTGCTTGTGACTATTCGATCGCAGCATACGGGAGAATGTGATCGAAAGGATGGCCAGGAAGGGTTTGAAAACCACTGGCCCGGGCTGATTATCGCGGTAACCACCCCCCGAGCGCCAATTAATCTTAACTTTTACGGGGCAAACACTTTTCATTAAGCCCGCCTCTCCCGCCGGCGTCGACGTTCCGTCGTCCCTTCGCCGTACCCCTTCCTCGTTTCTCGCAGTCTCAGCCACCCCCCGCAAGTCCCCTCATTTTTCCTCTCACCCCTCTACCCCGCTGATCCTCCTTTGGCCACGGCGAGGAACGGCAAGGAAAATGGCTCCCCAGACAAGCGTTTAATCTGGCTCTAATTAGCAACTTACCCTCCACCATTGCTCTCGCTTTCTCCCTTCTTCCACCCCCTTCTGCATTGGGGTAGGTGCACTTCTCGCGCATTCTCTGTGACCAATCCGGTTTCTCTTTCTGCTTCTACCGTAGACAGGAGCGGATCTCTAGATCTCAGATCCTTAAACGGAAGGGTTAAAATATATATCCATTTTTTTTCTTGAATTAATTCTTCTAACGATGTTAACTTTTTCGTTTCAGTTTTTTAAATTTTTTAACTAACTTTTTAATATTGATTTTCGATTGAATATTTTTATTTCATTACGCAGACTTTGAAATAATTATCCCCAAAAAGATAATCTAAAAGCTAAGATATTTTATATAATAATAGTAAGAAAAATTATTTTGAAAATAAATTTATTGAATATTTAACAAAAACTTGAATTTCGAAATTGTTTGAAATTTTTATTTTTTAAATATTATTCTAAATATTCTAAATATTGTTCATGGTATTTTTTTACTATAATTGTAATTATAATTATCCAAGGCGAATGCTTATGATTTTGAATTATCTTGTGTAGGATATTTATGGATGAACGGATAGGTGGTGTTCCTTCTTACAGATGGTCGATAACAAAAGAGACGTTATCGACATTGAGTTTCAGAGAGGAAGTACATATCCATATAATCATAAATGGAAGAACTCTCTTATATATTTGTTGGGAAAAATAGATCTCTTTTCTAAATATTTTTAAAATATCAAAAAATCCATCATGAACTAATGATGTGCGCTTTGGTAAAAGAAAAGTTACATTTTTCATTGTAAAAGAGAAGTTTATTTACTACGATTTCTCAAATCGATATAAAAATTAAACAGAAGTATTATTATGAAAGTAACACAGTATTTACTGTAATCGGAATTTTTCACGTAATTTTTTTTCTCGACTTTTTTTAGGTTTTTCTTTTATATAAAAGATTAGCTAAATATAATTTCCTTGTACAAACTAAATCTTAAGACAAATTTGTCGCATATTAATTGCATTATTAAGACAGTATTTTAAAATATTTTTTTATAAAAAATTATCTTCTCGAATTTTTAAGAATTTCTATGTAAAATATACATAATTATCATAAAAAGAACATTAAAATATTTAAATAGCGGAACTAAATTCGGAAATCATATTTTTTGGTTTTAATATATAAGATAATAAATTATTTGTGATACGAGTAACAACAACGAGGCTTACAAACAGCTTACAAATATTCTTCATATTAAATATCTTCATTTCAACATCTTAAGAACTTCGTCCTCGATTAATTGGCATCGCCAATTAGTTCTACGTCAATTGTATATAACTTCAATTAACTTTTTACTGCTAGTTTTGAACTTAATGATCATTATATTGCATTAACATAACACTGTAACAATCGTCATGCTTTTTGGCACTTTTGAGAGAGTGCCTATTTTTCAAGAACAATCGAGCACGAGTTTAAGAGTCTTCAACACGCTAAACTGCCGTACACGATGATTGGCTAGCGGAAGCAATGTTATATTGTGAATTTTGATATTATAATTATATAGATGTTTTTCCACTTCAGTACAACAATATCGTTACTTTCTTCTTTGGATACTGTCTCTTCTTTTTTCCAACAATAATTCTGAATATCCTTTGATATAAATTCGTTTTAAGCGTTCCGATGTGTGTCTACGCTCATTTTTTGTTCAATCAATAATTTTTCTACGAGTTCTTCATTCTCATTAGTTTTGGTATCATCATTATTGAATTAGAAGCAGTTGATGTAATTTTACTCATATTTTTACATCATTATCACTTTGCCTAAACAATGAGACAGATTTCTTTGTTACTGTTCGAGTTACTCACAACTTTAAGCTTATTCTTTTTCTTCGATATTGTAACTAACAAATGCGTGAGAGGGAAATAAAAAAATATAAAAGAAGTATCAAACTAAAATCGTTACAGTTTTACTAAATAATCTGCCAGAACTTTTGGAAATTTAGCGTGACGGTTAACGTGTTAAAAGATGAGTTAAGGCTTTGCCCGAGTTCTTCTCGCGAGTTTTTTCCTTTTTTTTTTCGATTGGATAAAGTAATCCGACTTTCGAAGGAACTGAGGCTTCTCTTCTCCGCTTTAGCTCATAACTTTATCGATCCAGGGCACAAATTTCTGGATATTGGTATAGACACCGGGCAAATGTTCGCGGCCGCAGCCGATGCCCCACGAAACCAAACCAATAAGAACATGTCTTCCTTCCACGGACATTGTGAGCGGTCCACCGGAATCGCCCTATTACAGATTTGTAAACGTAATTTGATTGCGTTTAGCTAATTATCAAATTTATCAATTTAATAGAATATTCTTTATATTCTTACCTGACAAGAATCTCGTCCACCTTCTTTATAACCCGCGCATAGGAATACATCGTGAATGGTTTCTCTTCTTCCGGCTGCTCTGAACCATCGTTGACATCTCTCGTTTGGTATTACCTGTATAAAAATTGATAACAATGATAACAATGATAACAAAATGATTTGTCGCGCAATTAAGAAGCCATGAGTACATTTACGAGCCAATTTTCATCACAGCTTTTAATATTAATAATATATAATTAATTTTATATATATTAATATAAAATGTTGGCAAAAATGATGAATATTTAATAATTGTACCATATAATATTATGATTACCGTTATTGCGAGGACAATTCGCCTGAGAAGAGACGTTTTAGCATCAAAGGTAAACACGACGGTGGAGAGTGTACTCACCTCGACATCGACTTCTTGAAGAACGGATGGCGCGGAAGTTTGACCATGCCTGGTTCGTCCCCAACCAGCGACGGTTGCGGTTCGGCCGGAGAGCTTCAAATTCCTTGCCGGCAGGCAAACCGGGACGATGTGTTGCTTGAAAGCTACCGTCCGCGACAGCTTCACCAAAGCCACGTCGTTCCGAAAGTCGACGGGAGAATATTGCGGGTGTACCTAATATTAATACAATTTTTATCATAATTGTATCAAATTATTCATGGTATGCTAAACTTTTGCGAGTGTACTCGTAAATTAATACGGTTATTATAATGTTAACTTGATATATTTAAAATAACAAAAAAAAGACCTCTTTTCTCTCGACGGTAAATTCTTCGTGGAGCAGCCGTTCTGCCGCGTCCCGAACGTCCCACTCTCCAAGTCGAACTTTTAAATTGCTATTCGGCGTCCTAGCACAAATTTTGCATCGATCAATATTCTTATCATATCACGCTGTGCGAGAGACAGTTGTGTGTAGTAGGATACTAACGTCGCGATACAATGCGCCGCGGTGACCACCCATCGATTGTTCAGTAAAGCGCCGCCGCAAGATAACTTCTTGGAGAGGAATCCTGATTTGATAATAGCAGCCTGTAACAAAGCGAACTAACGTTCAAAGGCCCGTTTACCGGCGCATTACATGAAATATGCATCTGAGGCCGCGTCACGGCTCGCGGCCGTAAGAGAAGATTTAATAGATTATTTTTCCCTCGCGCTCTTCGCGCTAGGCGAACCGAGCAAATTGATGGCTCGTTCCCGATGAATAATGCAGAGGAAAGGAAGAGTATGTCGCTCCGAGCGAGAGATATTTATAGTGGTCGAGTAGCAGCGGATAGGAGGAAACTGTGCGAGAAGGACCTCACCTGCCACGGATGGCTGCCGAAACTGGTCGAGTGCCCACCCACAATCCTGTTGCTCCTAGTGTAAAGCTCGCCGCAGCCTAAAAAGACGAGTCGTATTAGCGATCGCAAGTCCTGAAAGCGAGTTCAAGGAGAAAATGTCCGAGAGTCTGCGATATTTATGTGACAGCAATGATGCGAGGTGACATTTGCGAGTGAACAACTGAGAGCTGACATTTATGCGGTTTGCGAGGTAGAGGAGAAAATAAGAATACGAGATGCGGATGATAAGCTTGTACTGAAAATTTATTGACTGACACTTTCTACAATTATAGCGGTTAAACCGATATTTCAGCGCAGTTCACTTAAGATCATTTGCGAGAGACAGAAAGCAGAAAATAAATGTAGCGCAATGTAGAAAGTTCACGCGAGTTCAGAAAATCTATTGCACACAACTTTATTATCGCGGTAAAAATTCAGAGATAATTATTGCAAGTATATCTTAGCACGAATCAAACGTTCACGCTATTTCGTCCAAGATAGAAGAGAAGATAAGAATATAAGATAATTCTATAAGATTAGTGATTTAACTTTACGATTATTTTACGTCTAAATTTTAAAAAACAATCTATCCAGACAACACGCATGTCTTAAAGACATCTAAAGACGTCTTTTTTCTTGTCTGGGTAACAAAAATTATTATAATAATGACGCACATTCAAAGTTCTTATATTTTTTTCAAAAAGATGTTGAAGTTATATTTTAATATTTCAAAATATTCTATCTCATCTTATATTTCTTTCTACCTTATATTTTAATACTTGAGAAGGACTACTAAAGACAGTAATTATTTCTTCTTTGTCCTGTGTCAGTTGCTCAGTATTTTATTTAGTATTGTCTTCCTTGTTTTCGTTTTTCCTATCCTTTGTTCTCTTCGTTCTCTGTAGTCATTTTTCATATTTTTCAGCGTCCTCTCATTTTTTCTCCAAATCCAATTTCTCCATTGTTTTTTTGGCAACACTTTGTGCAGGAAAATGTGCAACGTGATGCCGAAAGCACTCAATTTCGTGCAGTTTCTGTGCGAAAGATTGTGTGCATGTTTAGATATCGTCTCGGTCATTTAAAATCATTTGAGACTAAATCGGTTTAATGTAAATCTTATTATATTTAATGATAAATATAGTATATTTTTCGTATCGTCTTGTAATATCCGTTTTACAAAACTCGTCACAGTTCGTCTTGTAATAACGTAATCTTGTATTTCGTAATGATTTTCTCTGTGATAGTTTTTTGTCATTTTGCGTGATTTTTGCCCATTTTTCTTCTCAATATATCAAATCTGATACGAAATCTTATAGTTATCTGTTAAATCACACAATATCAACTATCTTTTAATTTAATGTGATTGGATTAGAATCGAATCATGTTTTCTCTACTACGATTGATCATAGTAGTTGACATCGAGTAGATCCAAATACCAATAATCAAGTACACTTAAAATACGATCAACGTTGCAACGATCGTTGCAACAAATATAAAAAGAAGAAACCCAACTTAATATTAAAACGATATAATTTATAATTAAAGGGATGCAATTCTCTTATAAGCTGAATTTCTTATGCCGTAAATAAAGTGAAATTTTTGCGCATTTATAGCATTGAAATCTGAATTCATCGAACGATATCGGTCTCGATGAATCTCATTCCGTGCGCTCGACACACATCGGTGCATTCGGTGCAACAGTCTGCGTGCATTCTCATGCGATTACCACGGTATCTGGAGTAGTCCACGGAGCTGGACGAGTCCTCGATCGGCACGTGTACACCGGAAACGGCGGGCTGATAGCCGCCGTCGTACTCGTCCTGCGGATAGTCCATCTGGACCGTGTGATACGGACGGGTGGTATACGTTGGCCGATCGTGACTGATCGCGAGATCGTTCGGCCGATCGTGATTCCAGATCGCGTAAGACGGATTGTAAAGACTGCTCGGTTTGCTGACGTCACCCGCGTACGTGGGCCGATGGGCCCCGTAATTGTGCGAGGGCCTTATCGCGTTGTTGTAAATGTTCACATCGTCGTCCACGTACGGCTGTTGATGCCCAAGGTTTACGGAAAACGCTGGGCAACGTAATTATGTCGATATTAGCTAATCGTAATCACTCGTGTCTCGGTTGGTTTTGCGACCGAATTTAAGTTTGATAATACAGTAATTATGCTTCACGAGACCAGTAATTAAAAATATTTGAATATGAAATATGAGTAGATTTAATATCAAAGTTATTATTTTGAATGCTATCTATTAAAATAAATCTATTTTTATATTTGAAAAAATTACTGATTGTCCATTGATTGTCTATTGACAATAGTACGAAACAGTATATAATAAAGAAGTGTAATTAAGAAATTATTACTTAATGTACTTTAAAAAATAATAATGTAGCGTGTACGATGAAACTTGTAATTGTCTTCCTTTGTCGGTGACGTTACTTCTTCGCATGCTTCTAATCGCGCTATTGTATTGATGGTCACGCGGTTACGGTGAACGAGTTTGCGATTTGAGAAAGCACGCCCGCGTAAAGTTCCGCGGGCGTGCAACGCGATGCTGTCGCAAACTAGGTGTGAATAACTGTATTTGAAAGTGCCGACAGCGTATATACTGTCGCAGCGTCGGTGCGCGCGCGACACTAGCTGGACGCTGTTGGTTGTGTAATTTCGGATGTCGCCGGATAGAAATCAGGTTACTTCCAGCCGATGTCTCCTTTCAGTGCGCGATAAACCGAACGTTCTCAACCTTCTCCCAACCTGATCGTCTCAACCCTTAACCTTAGTCTAGCAAAATAACTCAAGATACTTACTAATTAGTGTCATTTTTTTTCCGCGTCACATGTTGTATTGAACGCCATCCAAATCTATCTATTTCACGCGGAGATTAAATGCGCCATTTAAAAATAATTCTATGAATAAAGATTGAAATTAGATCATTGAATTCGACTGGAAACAAATGCAAGCTGCTTACGGAAGTTCTCGAATGAATTAAAAGGCGCGAAGTCTCGGTTCAGAAATTCAGTTTAGCGCGACATACGAGGACACAGACCTTCTTTCAGGATGTCATAAATTTAAAGCAGTATGATGAAGATAAAGAGACCCCGAGAATTAACCGAGGCGCACGATATTAAAAACTCTTCCACGAGAAAAAAATCTGGCGTATTTATTGTTCTGGCTTATATTTAAGAATTTGAAAATTATACTCTTTGAAATTTTTTTATATCTTTCTACAATTAAAGCTATTACGACTACACTTTGGTATATTTTTTGTATGAAAAAAACTTACTGGCATTCTGTAGCAAACCCACGCTCGGTTGCGGTATTTTTTCGGGTATGTCGTCGTCGTCCACGCAGCAACTCCATATTAAACCGCCGGAACAGAGGTCGACGGGTCGACCGCCGCCTAAAACGCAGCTAATACTGAGGCTGCACTCGAATTTCGCACCTTTATATTTGCACGTTTGCGGTATCACTGAAACAAATTGTGGGATTCCGTATAAACGTTGATATCTTGATACATTTGGATCAAATTGTTGCATTTTACGAATTATTTTGATAGGTAGACGATTTTAATATTAATAAGTACAAGTTTTTGCTATAGAAAGAATTCAGCCCGAATTTGTCCTACTGCAGAGAAACATTCAAATGTGAAAGTCTGCTGCAATCTCGATGTGTTTGTTCATCTATTGTCACGCGACTGCAGCTTTAATTGCGCCAATTACACTATTTCGCGTCGCTGCGTTCAGCGCGTTTTGCAGAAGATCGATATCACCCATGAGATTCAGCGCAACAAACGTTGATTTTTAACACATTGCTCTTTGCAACATGCTACTGTAAACATGTGTTTACAGTTGCTACAGCAATTGGTTTGTAACCGATATTGTATTGTATTAAATTGGAAAAAAAAATAGCTTTAATATCAAAATTGTATTAAGTGTTAATTTTTGTCTATTTTAAAATTCTTGAGAATATCAGATAAAAAATAATATATCACTTTTTACTAATTTATCTTATGTAACAATATATCGCGTTTTATTTCTATTTTATATCTTTATATTCTTTTGTATTGAGATGCAAACTTTAACGTTTTTTTTTTTTCACTTTCAAGATCAATAGCCGATTAAAATCGTTCCAATAGCATTTTTTTTGGCGGCAGTACTTCCACCTCGTTTTCGAGTCTAGGAACATACTTCTGCCCAACATATCCATAAGGCCGCTCTGGAGATTGGAACTGTGTCCTCGATGGTCATTTGTGTGGTTTCGCTTCTTCCTGAGTGTCTCCACCAGCAGAACACCTTGCTGTTGACTGGTGAGTTTCCTCCTTCTGCCCTGCCGATTTGTGCCCGCCAGTTCGACCTCTCCGTTCAGTCTTTTCTGTCGAATTTCGTCGAGAAATTCCTGGATACTAATTTCCTCTTCCTCGTCTTGCAGGTCCTTCTCGAATACATCTTGTTCACTCCAATCCACTCCTTTCGCGTTATCATCCAAGAAATGATTTTGAGTATCTTTGGAAAATGCTGTGTTCTTTGGTTGCTCCGCATCTTCCAATATGGCGTCCGCCGATTCGTCACTGTCGTACGGAAAATTCGAAAAGTACTGATACTGCTCGACCTTGCCTAAAGATGGCTGGCCGATCACGTTTTTCAGCGTCGTCTCGATGGCTCGATTCTCACGCGTCAGATCCTGCTGTACTTTGGCAACATCCGGATTCCAGATATCCTCGTCCGAATCCTCGACTATTGCGAATTTTCTCGCGGAATTCTGGAGAATGTCGCTCCTGAGCAGGCTCGATGGTCTTGTTTTACGAGCGCTCAATCGTTGCGGGCGGACTTCTTTAACCTTGATCGGTGCGACCGATCGGCTCGCGGTCGCGACCTTGAAATCCTCCCTGCGTTTCCACGAGTTGGTGTCATAGTGATTAAAAGCGCTCGCTACAGTGATTAGGAGCACCCCAAGTACGATCTTCATGATCGACTTTGACTTCCGCTTAACACTTCGAGGATACTTCGCACGTCATCATGGTCTCACTGCACACTTAAAAATTCGAAAAAGATACACTGCGGCGAGAATGGATGAGAAATGGTCCATTGATTGCGACCAAATGAAGAAGAGTGGAGAATATTTCTCCAAAATTATTCGAGGAGAAACTTAGTTGGAAACTTTAGTTGGAAATTATAAACACACCGTGCGCTTTCACTGGTTCAAGTTTCACTTGCAAAAATGTTTAAGAAATATTTGATTAGCATAAAGTTGAACTTTTTAGGTCACCAATTTCTTGTTTTTCCTCCTCATATGAATAATTTCTATCGTTTGGTGATTAGTCAAACGATGTTCTCGAAAAGAATTTCGAATTTTGCGTACACTTTGTACAATTCGATCACCAATTAATTCTGGATAAATCCTTAATGACAGTCTTGAATGTGACAGATTCGATTCATGATCCAGTTTCTTTCACAGATCTCTAGCTTTATCGAAGGCTTTGGCGAGAGGCCGACACTTCGGATGACACTTCCGGTGTAATGTAAACTCCGCCATTTTGATATCACTGATTCTTCTTAGATTAATTTTTCTTCACTGCAAGTTGTAAGTTCTTCCATAAGCGAAAATGACAATTGACAGAATTTCTCTCTGGAGATCGGATAAACGATCCGGTGACGCGCTAGCACGATCGAGAGATCGGTCAAGGATCGAATGTGACTTGAGATTCTTCTTCGGGGTGATAGAGAAGCCGTGACAATGCACGCCTTCTACACGTGGACTGGCTTAAGCCAATGTCCCAGGAGTCTCGATCGTGATCTAAGGAGGCGTCCGCTGCTTTCACCGGCGTCAGCTTTCTCGCAACGGTGGCAGCGGTGTTGTCCCTTGGTCTCACATTGGTTCCCCACCTTCACATAAAGATGCGGTGTGTCTTATTTTCCATTTCTTTCCTCGCTGTATTATTATTTCACTGTTGCGAGATTGTCGTACTCTGAATAACTGGAAAACTCCATCGCGATGTGGACCGGTCAGTATTGCCATTTTTTCGGTGCATCAAATTCTTTCAGCTATTTTGTTTTCTTATTATTATTGCTGAAATATATTTTTTACTGTTATCAAAATGAAGAAGATTACATATGTTAATTCACTGATTTTATTTTTTCGTTATAATCTTGATAAAAAATTCCATCAATGACAGGATTGTTCTTTTTATGAAATGTTTGCCGTTTCGTATCACGAAAGTTTAAATGAATAAAAACTTAGAAGCTACGATTTTGTAAATACCGAGTTTTATCGCAAATGAAAGATATAAGAGTACGAATGGCTTCGAGAAATCGGTTGTCTCCGATAGCTATTTACATTGAATAGGTTCGATACATTAAGATTTCGTGACCCAGTTTTATCGCATGGCTTCACTGAAAGTATTTTTGCTTTTGAAGATAAAATCTATATTAATGCAAACGATTTACAGGACATCCTGGTATTAGCTCCATTTATCAGTATTCAATATTAGATATGATTTAAACTAATGTAAAGCAGGATGAATTTTTCTTTGCAGTAGTAGTTAAATAAATAAGTACTTAAATCATGTTACGAAATTTTGTCAGAGGTTGAATTAATTAAAATTCGGGAACTATTACGAAAAATGGTAATTCAATAAGTACTGAATCCCATTCTAAATAGGAAAAACGATGTCAGTCGAACGCTTTTAACGACAGAGAAGAGGTCCGTTGAGGTCGCAGTGAAAACGGAGCTTCCGTGCGCTTCATTATAAATATTCTTGTAGAAAGTAAGCGTCAGTAAGTGGCCTTTCAAGTACGATTCCGATTTCGTCTCCCTTGTTAACTCAACTGTGAATCGCGAAGTCTCTCTCGCGTTCTGCTCACATTTACGGTAGAAAAGATCACTCGCAATTTTCTTGCGCTGCGAGAGATGATTGCTGCATCAAATAGAATATTGTCAAAGGAAATCTCCCGCTTTAACTTGTTCTCTTTGAATATATTCTTATGTAATAATAATTTCTGAACTTGACATAATTCCTGTTTAAAATAATTATTTTCATATTTATTAAGTTTGCATTTAAGAAAACGACGCGCTGATTTCACCTTTCATCCTCAGTTAATTCGATTATAATTACTGCATACAGTAACGATGGGAAATATCAGATTGCTTAGAAAATATAGGTCATATTGACTTGGTTTTATAAATACAAATATCCGGTGAACGTCAACCGGTTTGCCATCTTAAAATACTTCCGATGTCTGTCACTTCTTCGAGCTCTCATTATCACGAAGATATAAATGCGTTCAGAGCTGAATCATCCTTATTACGCGCTATCGTTTATTAAACAAAATTTTAAAGGATATTATTTTAAAGGATGGTAATCAAATATCAATATTGTTTATCGCACTGATTGCGATACTATATGATCGAACATTGTCAAATGGCACTATTGTATTTAAATCGCATTTAAATAGAAGTGTGTCGAGGATGGCACGATTCCCTGTCTGCTTTTCAACATGAATGTGAGAGAAATTCATGTATTATTCAAAGTGGCATACTAGATGCCTTTCTCTTTCGAAGCGATCCTTAAAATTCATTTTAACGCCTACTTACCGTTACGCTCAATAACGTAATGCGCGGGCAAGGCCTCGCGGAAGCGCGAGATATATTTAGAACGATAATATAACGTTACTTAACATAAGATAACGTAATGAAATGAACAATAAGTGTTACTTACACGCGTCAAGCTCGACGAAGAATCTCATCTGTCTATGTGAATCGATCGCATTTTCGAGATTTTCCTCTTCATCCGGCTGATCTAGAATAACATTTAAATTGGTAAAAACTTTTTTTCTTCCTCGACTAAAAACATATAGCAATCTGGTTACCGAATTTTTTTAGAAACCGATCGTTCCTTCTGGTATTAACGAGAGAGCCGATATCAACAATCAGAAATAGTGAGATAAGCGCTCCAGTTTTGAGAGTAACCATTTCTCTCTTCAGTCGTGAATGATGACTGTGCGATTCACTGTCGTTCGCCAATCATGTTCGCGAAGTCGTCATCGATCAATCCTAATACGGCGCCGGATCATTTTGCCGCGTCTGTCATGATTTCACCTTGAAATCCGAGTTTTCCAGCACTTCCCTCGCTGTCTCGCCGGTCGTTCTATTAAGGGCACAAAAAAATTTTCAAATAAAAAAAGCATGCTTTTTTCACGCAGTGCGTTTTATTCGTTACAATCGGGGCGAAATAACATTTGTTTTAAACGTTCAATGGCGGGCATTTCATGCAATCGAACGACTGCGAGAAGTTCAAAGGCAACCGAATAATACGAACCTCGGTGGAAAGTGTTAATTGCTGGCCGGAACCCCGTGAAAGGTCTGCCTTGTAAAACATAAATTTCGGAGACGAATTTGTACGCAATGTTTTTCTTCTTTAATAATTTTGCGATAAATTTTCGAATGCGTGTATATCGCGTTTTATTGCTTCTTTTATTTAAAAAAATAATAATTTATGAAGATCAAATTAAAAAATCATTAAAATCGATATTTATACCCCACGTTTACCGTTAAATCCCGCTGTCCTGTTATAATTTTTATCTCATACAAAGATCACGTCGTATAATATTATTATCTTGATCTGAGAATCTCAGACAATCGTTTCTCACGAAAGGGTTAACATGGAACATAATGTCACTCGGAATCTTCTAATTGTGTCGCTTTAATGCAGGAGATTTTAACTTTACGATTTAGTTATTTTAAATAATTGAAAAGAATTTTTTTATGTTCCAAAATTAGCGACGTATAAATACTTATTAATTTTTAAAAATTAATCTTGGAATCGTGAGATCTGTAATTATGCGAATAATCTCCAAACTAAACAAGATGTGAGCAAACAGCTTTTAAGCGTCATTATGAACGTATAGTATGTAGTGTCAAAGGGTTAACGATGACGATTACAAGTCACGTATTCATATATGTTCGGTTTCTCCGTCGATCTTGGAACTCGGGGTCTTTGTCCACATCCTCGGTCGGTTCCTCAGTAATGTGTCGTGAGCGAGTTCACGCTAGCGTGTCCGACGTTCATGTACAGTCCGGTACAAAAGTGGGACACGAAACCAGGCCACCGAGACAAGTGGCACGCCTTTTAGTGCTTCGTAACGTTCGGCCGGTCTACATGCGGAACCACGCGCGCGCGTTGTATCTCTCTTTGCCTCCCTCTTTCCTCTTTGGTTATTAGTGAAAGTTAGCCGGTAACTTTCGACTTTGACAACGACGACGATTTACCATGATACGCGCGGGATGAATTCACACATATGATTCACTCGATGCACTAGATTACGCTTAAATTATTTTGAAGAAATGTCTCAACTTTTTTCGAATAACAAAGAATTTTCAATCAGTATGAAAAATTAGCATCAATCAATAAGCGAATAATGATAGATATAATGTTTATGTTTTTGTTTTATCAAAATTCTAACATATTCTATCTTGCTCAAATGAATTCAATTTGTTAGCATTACAGTAATTAAATTTGTAAAATAATTATTGTATGAAAATTTGTATGAAAATTTCGCGGAACTAATATATACGTGAAACAACATTGACTTGTGGGATACAATCAAACAATTTTGTTCTGGCAGGAAATATTATTGTTTAAATAATATACAATGAATTGAAGATGAAGGAAAGAGTGAAATATCACTTTCATCATGCTGTGTTACGAGTTAAAACTCATACTCGCTATTGTTTTTGGTCGCTCGACTTTCTTCGTGCTTCTACTAACTAGATAAAAATTGTGCGTGATGCTACACGCACATATTCGCTACATATTTATCTGGCATAAAATTGTCTTATTAATTCATACACTTTCAGAGTATGCTTAAAAATATTTTTCATCTTTATAGAATATAAATTATTTGAATAATTGAAGAGCAAAATAATTTGAGATTTTATTTTATGTATTCGCGTGAAAAATTATACGTAATTCTAAAATTCTTGGCCAGCCGAATTTCGAATTAAATACGTAAAAGTAGAAAGGAATATGGCGTGGCACGTGGTGAATCAATTGTCACGTTCTAAAGTGTAATGATCCGATCAATAGCGCCTCTTACCTGGATTTCTATCTCAAGATCAAGGTCGACGACAAGTCTGAGATCTCGTCTGCGAAGCACAATCTAGCACTTGAGGCGGCTGGCAAAAGGGTTTGAGCTTTCCCCTCAATCGATTCCCGTTTATCACAGTTTGATAGATGCACGGAATGATGGTTGGAGGTATCTATAAATATCAGAGAAGATGATAGGAATACTGTAGAGATAAGTGAAGGAGAAATGATGCGGGAGAAGAGATAACACAGTAACTATGTTTCGTAGGTTGTATGCTTATGAACTTGCTTCGCGCTTTCTCGTTTTTTACGGCCAGCCACTTAGACATCTATTATTTGAGAAAGTCTCAAATCTATTTGAGATCTAGTTATTGCGTCACTTCTCCACCTGCTTTATCTCTCTCTTTCTCACTTATACAGATAGGAATTTTTATCTTTCTTTTACACAATGCGAGATCATTAAAAGAACTGAATCGCACCTCAAGACTTGAAAATTTTCTAGCTTATTCGTGTTCTCTCTTTCTCTCGTCTACTCTTATTTTCTTTTGCAAGATCATCGGTATTATAATTTCCCATACACTTTTAATCTTATAATTACACAAGACTTAATCACTTCACGGAAGCGCGCGCGTTTTTTGGAATAAATTAACTCGGTGAATGTACGCTTGTTAACGCGAGACGGTGCGACGCTACTTTGAGATTTTATTTATCCAAGGTGTTCGCGCGGTTATGTAGATTCATGTAGATATCACTGTTACGGTCACGCTCACACCGGCGAGCCAATGAATAGAGCACCGCGACACGCGGTTGACTACTGATGAGGAACAGTAACATCAGCATCCATAACCACTCTCTTCGGGCCGTTCTCACTCTCTCCGAATGGGCCCAAGGCATCCAAAGCGTTCCTTTTCTATCTAGCCAGTGAAATTATAACCAAGTTCCAGAACAAAATCTTTTACATCCGTTTTTTTCCGATGAAAAGTGATCGAGATTATCACTTTCTATCCATCTGCCTTTTCGCCCTTTTTTCGTTTGGGACATTAATTTAGCGTTTCTTCATCATATTTCATTCTGATTAATTTGTTTTTAATTTTCCCTCACTTTCCAACCACCTTGTTTAATGATCTTCTTTCTGCATCGTAAATATATGAAATTTAATTCATTAATTCACCTTTCATTTTGTGTACTTCTTGAAAGGAGCATTGCGTGTTGCGAAAATCAAGACTTTAAATTAGAAATCCTTACGAGATGGATGTTCTCGTAACGAAATGTAATTTATGGTAATATGTATCACACCGCTATTCAATTCACTATTCCTCAGCAATTCCTTAGTAATTCCCAAAACTTACTTTCACAGAGAGTCGCGCGGGACAATCTGTTTTCTTCCGCGCGGGGTTTCACTTTGAAATCTCGTTGTCGCGCGTGAAAATTGTACTTTCAATCGACACACAATTTTCTAGACCTACTCGTGGCGACTAATTAGAGTAATTTGATGAAAATTACAAGTGAAGAGGAAAATTTCTTTCCAGGATATCTAATTCTCCATTAATTATGCGTTTACGAGATTTATGTTGCATCTTTTCTATGTTTATAATGCGATCTATAGAACTGAATCAAATACAAAAGTAAAAATGAAGAGGTCATTCATTTTTAATATATTCATTTATTCTATATTCTTATTTATTTATCTGTTATTTGACTATATTTGGATATTGTAAAATATTGGAATATTAATAATGTGCGTATTTTTATTGATTTTATTATTGCTAAATTAACAATTTAAAAGGTACAACTACTTTCAAGCAGAGTATTTGCATAATTCGCTATGTAATAACATGACATAATGAGTAATGAAAAGCCACGCATAAATTTAAAGACGTCATTTCCATGGCATGTTTTATGTCACTCTCTACACCATTTCTACGCTATTTCTATGTCATTCCCGCAATTACGTCTCATGACTTTATGTACGTCACTTTTCCATTCCACGCACGTGACTTGGAGTTAAAATAACTAATGTGCTTAGTGACATCCACAGTGATATCCACATAAAAATATGTATATAATTTCTTTTATAAAAAACTTATACAAATATTTTTAAAAGTTTCAGGATGTTTGATATATATTTTGAAACGTATATATTTATTATTTAATATACTTATTAAACTAATTAAATAATTACATGATAAATGTACTAAATTACATTAAAGTGTCTGCAGAAAAATAATGCATATAGAAATAAAAAAGATGAAACTATAAAATATGAAAAGAGAATTTTTAAATATTTTTTATGTTATTTTTATAAAATAATACCGACTACAAACGTATATTCTCTCTCGCTTTGTACAAGATGGCAGCACACATTTATTCAATATACTCAATGTGGAATAGTATGCCAACATGGCTACAGCTGACTACAAGCGGAATGTCAAAAGTAGCGGAGCAGCATCAATGAAATTTCGTATATCTGCAAGATGATTCGATTAATTATTTCGGAGTTAAGTGATCGAACTTGTTTATTTGTGTTGTATTTCAAAAACCAGAATTTTAACAGGGACACCCATTGATATATTTGTTCCGCTAGAACTGTTATTGTATTGTACTTTATTTCATAAATTTATCCTGCATCTGACAAAAATTTGGAGCAGAGTTCATTAAGATATATCCATGATGACTGATTCAGAGAAACTTTTTGCTTGTTCCTCGTCAGGCTGCAACATGGTGAGTCACAACTTCTATTTCTTGCCAAGAAAAAATGTGATTTATTTTAGATTATGAAATTGGTTAAGGGAGAGGCTTGTAGCAATTTAATGGTAAGGACAGAGTGATATCTTTATATTTTTTTTTTGGACAGAGCTTTACAAATGAAGATCAATTAACGGTGCATAAAAAGAAGCATGACATGAGCCTGAATCTTGGCAATAATTCTAAAAATGGATTTGTTGGTAAGATGTGTGTGGCAATTTGATTTATGCATATCACATTAAATATTGGTGCGCTAAAAAATTAATTTTATTGTAGCGGATCAAACTCCAACTCCAACAAGGTTCTTCAAAAATTGTGAAGAGGTTGGTTTATTTCAAGATCTACAAAATGTAGTCAATCCTTTCGAAGAGACGTTTCGGAGGGCAGTTGAGGCTGGAAACACTGGCACACTTACAGTACCAGAGGCAAGACAAAATAATTGTTTGTTTTTTCAAATACTTTATAGAATTTATAAAATTGAAATAATTTCATATTTTTGTTTTATAAATGATATTGAAAGTTATGTGACACAGGATTACTTTTTGTAGGCTGGAATTGCAGACGATACGTTGCATACTCCACATATTTTTCCTTATATATCAGATGTGTTACCAGCAAGTAATCAAATTCTTCCTGATGACAATGTCGAGGATTGTCCTTCGACTGTGTCTCTTACAGAAAAGAGTGCAGAAGTGGAAAGCGTGAAACCTGAAGAATATAGCAATATTGAATTAAGTACAAATGAAACGCAGGAGTTGATAAAAGATGAAAATATGACATCTGTGAAAGATAATACTATCGCATCAGATATTGTTGTTACAAATGCAAATGCGCCTACAGCAGCTGAACTTTCACCGCAACCTTTGTCGCATCTGTAAGTTCCGTACATCTCTGTAATGTTTTAATATTGCATTTTGTTACAATTAATTTTTAACTCTTACCATTTTAGTTCAATATTTTTTTCATTTTGTGTTAAATCTCTTATTGTTTTCTATAAATTTTTAATCTTTTATGATGAAATTTATATGATTAACATTCAAGTTTGATAGATTTTAATGATGGCTAATAATTTTGTCATAAATATTTTGCTTTCTTCAATCTAAGAACATGTAAAACACATGAACTTCCGTGGCATGATCAGCAAATGTACGCTGATACTCTTTTTCAAGGTCCATCAACGGCGAGGAAGTGCAACTACTACTAAAAACAGCGGATGGTAAGTTGATGCAGCTGTCGGCGACACCAGTGTCCGAGTCTTCAAATGTCTCCAATGTTAGTACCAAAGAGCAAACAGTCGTTATTAAAACTGAACCTCCTCTGCGATGTGCAATGAAATCGGACATGCAGTCACCCAAGAAAACTGTGATTTCCAGATTATCCTTGGCGAAAATGGTATGCTATATCTAATTGTGCCGATGATAAAACCGTATTTCAAGGTAAATCTCTTAAAAATCATATTGCAGAAGTTGAAACAAACCTTATCCAAAAACGTGATCACGCAAAAAGCGATTGAGGGATGTGGAAAAACGGATGCAACTGCCGCTTCAAAGAAAGAAAATGTTAAAAAAACCGTCGATCAGCTTAAAAAGAAAGACATCCTCGAGCGTAATCGTGCCAGTTCGATGCGCGCGAGAGCCAAGAGAAAGGCGTGGATCCAAGATCTCCAGAGGACGGTCACTAACGTGAACGAGGCAAACGCAGCGTTGCAGATGGAAGTAAAGGCATTACGCGTGGAAGTGGCGAAGCTGAAGACTCTTTTGCTGGCCCATAAAGATTGCCCGGTTACGAAAGCAATGCAGAAAGGCAAGTTTTTAAGTTAACATTTGACTTAGTCTTGATTTTTTACATTCGTATTCACTTTCGTCCAAAGAAATAATTTCATTGCTAACTTGATTGCATCAGTTTGGATTAAATAAAATTTGTTTGACAATTTACTCATCCTTTTTTAATATTTTATTTTTATTTATAATATACAGGTAACAAGATAATTTAATTAATTAAATTTAAATATTGAAAGAAATTAAATAAAAAAATTATTTAATTACATTTAACTTTAAGGGATAATATTAAATCGAATTGAATCTTGCAGGAAATGGAATAGTCCTTGGACCTAAAATAATATCAGTTAGTAATTCGGAGATATTGACGGTGCCAATATCGGCCAATGGCGTTTCCATAAAACGATCAATTTCTTGTAAGGAGAGCTCAAATGTACGGATGAAGAAAGCGGCTGTTTCGATCACAAAGAATCCCGTGATCTTCCCAAAGGTGGATTGCGCCACCGCTAATCTTGCGATTCCGAACGCTACGATTATAAAGAGTTTGCCGGCGTTGAAGATCGTGGGAGTCAATCAATTTCTGCCGGAGAAACCGGAGGAAACGAAGCAGATACTAATAGTACAAAATCAGCCACGAAAATTGTGCGAGGCCACATCTAGGCAGATTATTCAGATAAATCCGAATTACGAAGTGGAACACGCGGCATCGAAAAGCGCGGGAACGTAACTAATCGCTCTCGGAAACGTTCGCGCGTTTATAATATGAAAACTCTCAAGACAAGTTGGATATCATAGTTGAATGAATCGGTTCTACGATTCACGCGATGGTACAAGTTACATGACGTTACAAGAAAAATCTTGTAAAATCTAACTTTGCGTTTTTTCCGTTTTTTTTTATCGTTCTATGACTCATTTCATATATTCATTTCACGAATATTTGTTTAACAAACGTTATAGCCGTTATAATATATTCTTGCAGCTGTTAGAGATATATTCTTAACATAAAGGAAGATGAAGTGACACAGGTGTTACCATTTTTTGTATTATTTATTATGACTGCAGTAACAGATATATTTGCTTTTTTAGAAATTATAATTCATTTTATCCTCGTCAACAGGAATCCTCTGCATCCCTATATACGTCCTTCACTAGAAAGGTACTAAATATAAAAATATAAATTAAAAGTATTTTATTACTATAAACTACATTAAGAAAATTATAAAATATTAAGATAAATTAACATATATTTTTATATAACAAAGTTAATAATTTTTTCTATTCTTCCAGCAATTGTAAACGTAGTTTTAATTTTTTGATCGTTTAATTGTCTCTTGAATGCTCACTATTGATTGAACTTAAATATTAATGAAATTAAGAATTTGTTATATGTTATTGTATTGTTATATGTCATTATATTAGCATAATAGATTCAGGTTGCAGATTAAATGTTGACACTATCTTTTCCATGTGCTTTCGGAGTTTAGTGGACGAAAAGTATGCAACGTATCCAGTCCCACGATGCTTCTGTGACCCTCGGGCCCTTATCAGTTCTCCGTCCAGTCGTCTAACAAACACCGGACACGAGAATGATAAGGGGCTTTGGGCACGCATTGTTTTAAACACGAAAAATGAGCATCGAAGTGTAGAATCGCGCTTTGGACTCCAGAAGTTTGAAATGTGACTCACGAGATACCTGAAAAAACCGAAATAATTGATCATTATTTTATTTATTGGAAAATTTATAACATAAACATTTTATTTTATTTCACAAAAAGGTATATGTAGATAAATATTCAGGAAACCTCAAAGCATCTCTTAATATTTCTATCATATCTTCATAATTTTAGTATTTGGACTCTAGTTGATATGTACATGTAATTTTTATTATTTTTATTTAGCAATGCATCAACTGAAACACGTAGTTATTTTATGAATAGTCAATTCATTTTCTTGCAGACTCATCTCGTATATTTATTCGCTAACGTGATTAATTTGCAACTAATATATTTGACCCGGTTACTGAGACACAAATATGTCGCGCGCAAAGCTTCAACAGATCTATAATCTCGCATTACATCATAAGAGCGGGGACCACGAATTGGTCGTGGTAATCGAACACGGATAAGCACATGCACGCCACAAAGGACAACCGTCTCTCTCGACAAACAAGATTTCCGCTCCTTCCCGAACCGAATGAGTCACGTTCAAGAGCACAACGGACCATGTGAGGCATCCTGGAGGCCTGCCTGCCTGCCTGCCTGCCTGCCTGCTGTTGGTTACTCGGTAAACTCTGTCAACCGCTTTCTCATGTCGATAACAGACATCGATAGCGAACAACCGGGCACAGTACGCGTCCCTGTTCTCTCGAGTTTCGTCGATGCTTCCTTAATCTTTCGTCCTCTGCGATGAATCAATCCTGCCTGAGTTCGCAGTACAGAAGAAAACACGTTTACTAATAAACGTCTGTGATCAGTAAATAAAAACTATTTTTTCCAGGGCGTCGATGATTAGCGGCGCGAACAAGTTTGGCAAATGGATATTGAAATGTAACCAATAAGCGCTATGTCTAATTTTTTTTCAGACTTAAGATTACTTAGAAAAAGATACATTTTAAATCATGACTTAGAAACGTGTACCTTTTCTTTTAGAAAATTTATCGCTATTTTACAATATTTCTCTTCCAAGTCAAACGTGCGTGGAACGTTTCAACTCTACATATTATAATACACGAGCGTTGATAATGATTATCGATATGGTTTATAAATTGATAACACCTCTTCATTTTTGCACAGAAAAATAATTTCTTTCAAATAACAGGAAATTACTTTTTAATAGATCACTGATTAAAAATGATGCTTATTTAAACAATATTCATTAAATTCTATCAATACGTTGCTTTTGTATTTCGGAATTATTCCACGGATCGTCCATTCACGCTGGAATTTTACATAGAACCGTTAATGACTGGTCGCGGCGCGATAAACACGCGAGTTCAAAGCTTCCCCCAGCTAGTATGTGGCTTACATTCGATCATTCGTAGAATTCTTGGCGTCGATTCGTCTTGCGCCGGCCCGCTCAATCGCCACGCGTACGGAAATAGCACCGACAGAGCAGGTGCCCGATTCTACGGCCCTGCTGTTTCGAGATCGCGTTGAACCGCGTGGTTATTATACAACACGCGCGATCTCCAACCTTGGACCGTGAGCTTCTTTCGTTCTCTATCGCATGAGCGATAAATTGCTGAAAAGTTTTAGTGTGGATTTTACGTCATTTTAACCTTCAAACTGAAGTATTGCCACACCATTTACTAATGTTAATAATTAATAGTAATTAGCGGAAGTTTACGAATTAAAGTTTATACAAAATATTAATTTATTAATTAGTGATTCATCTTTAGATCATAACTGGTCATCCGACCGATTAAACTTTTCGTAAACTACTCCGAAAAAAGTTTTAAAGTTTAATGTCTCTCTTTAAGAAAAAGTTTTAATGATGGTTTAAAGTTGATATCCCGTGCAGAAATTTTGATTTAAATTACTTGAAACACTTGAGAATCTTCCTTTAGCATTACTTAGATTTTACACATTAATGTTAACTATGGGGAAATATCTGCCTTGTGTTAATAAACCCGCGCGGATGTTATTCATATTAAATGTATGTACGCGTCGGAGTTGGCGTTAAATATTAACGACCTAATTCGTCGACGAACGAGTTAACGGTACACAGCCAAATACCCGGACAAGTTTTGTAATTACATTTTTTCCGCAACAGCGAACAAAAAATACCTTTAATAAAAATAATACATTCTTTAGAAAACATAATATAACAGGCAACCTCATTTCGTTTTTGATAAAAAAAACGTGCAATAACGCAACGAGCAACGTCATTCTGTTTTGATAAAAAAATTGCGATGTCGCAATCGGTCTGGGAACAGATCAATTAACCACGATTAATTTCCGATCGGAAGATCAATCACTGTCGCTGTATATCGTTTCGTACGCTATCGCGCGCTGCCTGCGCGTTACACACGGGGAAACATTCGAGGCGAGATTTGCTCTGAAATTCGCGTCTTAAATTCTTGTTAGCTGAGCCGAGTTCTCCGGCCACGGTCGCGGATTCCATTTACTGATTGGGATATGGCATCAGTTATTCATCGCCGCTAGTTGAAGGAGAGAACGGGCGAGAAAGAGAAAGAGAGAGAGGAGCACGTGCGGCCGTTATAAATACGGCGGATTTCCCGTCGGTATGTTGCTGCATTTGGAAATTCTCGATGGGCCTCCCCCTCAACTGCTCTATCTCCCTTTCCATTACATCGTTCGTGCACGTTCATGTTTGATCGTCTATCAATAAAAAAACAGGACCCCTCATATAATTTTTTCATATCAACGGCAGTTAGAAAGATTTAGCCGAACTGGGAAGTGTATTCTTCTCACGCTGAGAATCAAGAGAAATTGCGTAATAACTAATACATGGCTTTGCGGCACATCAAAATTCGATTTCTCATATCAAGCTATTATAAATTCACGACAGTTTATAAGAAAACGAGGAGGAGATCGCGAGTTATAATAAGAGCAACGATTATTTAATTTAGTCTCTTGACCGTGCGACAAAAATAATTCGATCGATACTACGGTTTTTACACGCTTTTCGCGATTATACTGTCTCTCACGCTTGTTTCAGAAAGGTAAAAGTTTAGAAAAAAAAATGTGCAGCTGTAATTGCTAATAAAATAAATGATAGAGATGATACTTTGTGGATTCTAAAAATCTGACGAACATCAAAAGATCGAAATAGGTATTTGGCGTAAGAAGTGAAAGAAATGGCAGAGCGAAGAGTCGGATGACCGATATTTATGATCTTTGAGAAAGACGTACTGGTGCAATAAATACTTTTACAAGGCAATATGACAAAGATAAACCGACGGAGTCGAGCGTGCGTTCGTTCTTACGGTTCCGAGAGGGACAATATGCGGTCTGTTTTAGCCTTGAGACGTATCCGTGCTTCCTTTTATTTTTACATTCGATCCGAGACATTGTTGCGGACGTTTTTTATCGCGGTTTTCTCGCCGCGAAATCAGAAATAATCAGGTCGAAAAACTCGCCGAAATAAATTCCTTCTCGGTCGATTAATGAGCCTCGTATATGAATTAAGTTTAATAGTAAAATAACACAAACGTGTTTCCTTGTATCTTCTACATGCTTAATGTTCATTTGTCGTACCGTGCGCGCGAATCTGTCCGATTACATCGCGGTTTCTGTATGCGAATTGAAACAAGTAAAATCACGTGCTTGAAAGGGATAAAGGGAAAAGGGATGTGTATAAAACGCAATTGAAACGAACGGATCTGAGCGGAACGAATTCGGTGGCTATTATTCGGTCCGAGAAATGGTCAGTTACGCGCGCGCGACGCTCTGACGTTGGATCGACGTCGCAGGCAGTCACATGGGTAGACCGACGACAGCGGGAAACAAGAGCCGGCGAGCCGATCGATCTGTTCGCCGCCGAAAATACACGCGCACACGTACGGCGGGATACGGGTTTACACACGTTTTCCGAACCGGGGTTGCGCGGTGCAAAACGTGGAAACTGCACGCACAAAAGAGGCCCAGCGGCAGCGCTCGAGGGAGAGAACGCAGCGGACGCGAGGGGGGGAGGGGGGAGAAGGGCAGTTTAGAGCAGGAGGGCTCGCGGAAATTGTCGCCGCGCGACGATTCCGATGTTGAGAGAGTCGGCTGGGCTAGCTCGTCGAATCACCGTAAACGCGCGAACGAATTCGGTGACGCGTGCAGTGACTCGACACATGCACGCTGTTATCGTTATTTCGTCGCTCGCACATCGTTGCGAATAATGAAACGTTTTTACGAACAAATTTACAATCTGCGCGAATCTCTGACGCGTTCTCGCCATCGAGCCTTTTGCCCGCTCTCTCATCGTCTGGAGATAATAAAGTTATTAGGTCGAGAGTCTGAACTCTTACTTTTATGTCGGAGAACGCGTTCGTTCGTTCGTGACTCAATATTGTTTCAGAGAACAAAAGAATATTGAAATGCGCGTTTAATTAACATTGTTTGGTTATCTGAATGCGTTGCTTCTTTTTTACCTCAGAACAAATTAAAAAAAATTTGTTCCGAGGATTCTAAACTCTAGAATATCTTTAAACACGTTCGTAGAATAACGAATATGTTTGTTCGCAAACCACTATTCTAGAAGTTTTGCAAATTTCTAGAAAATTCAAAGATTTTCCAAGTTCTAGAAATTCTAGCAAATAGTGGAGATTGTTGAAACGTATTTCCACGTGGCTATTTAACCGATGTCTTGTGCCATTTTTCAAGCTAGAAATAAATTTTCGAAAATTTTTAATATTAAATATTTAATATGATTCTGTGATGTTGCAGAGAATTTTCGTATGTTTCACAGCGTGTTAAATTTATCGAAATTGTATGGTAACTGACCTTTCTACGGTGAGGCTGATCGGAGAAAAATATAAAAAGGAGAAACAAAAGCTTGCCGCAAGGTCCACTGGAATATCGTGATACTCGCGCGGATCCTCGTATCACGAGTCTCATATCACATGCCGCACGCGTCGCGTAACAAAATGCACAACTCTACTCGTTCTCCTTCAACCACTCGGAAACTCAAGGTTATCCGCAAATAGTTACAAATTTCAGTATCGGTCTCGGTCTCTTTTGTACAACTGCTGTTATTCAGATATCTATCCGTAAGATAAGAGACGCCTCGATAAACGAATAATCGTCGATAAGATCCCGAGATAATTTCCGGATTTTCGAGTCGCTCGGTTACAACGCGAACTGATTGCACACTCCTAACTTGAAGATATGATTTTCCGTACACTCTCGAGACTCAATCTCTCCCAATACATCCTGCGTGTATCGCGAACAGTCGACAAAAATTACTCGCTAAACGCAGCAATCTCCCATCACACTTCGTGAGATATCAAGCGTGCCACATTGAAGAAATCACTGCCGACTCTCGCCGATGCTCGCAATATTACGAAGAGGCACGTCACGGCTATCGTAAATTCACACACAAGGTCCCGCATTATCGAGAAGTCGGGCGACGGACAAACGCTGATGTAACGCACGCGCACGATCGGCGGTCGGCCGGCTGCGTCGAATCTCGAGATTTTCCACGCGCACCAGCAACGATAACGCGACAGAACACAACGTGGCACGGTGCACATCTCGCGCGCGACTGAACGGCTGTGTCGATCGCTTCGCCGAGTCTCGGTCGTTTTCGTGACTTGTATAGTGGGGAGTTCAGTCTCGCGGTATCTCCGTCTGGCGTTCACGAGCGCACACCTCACTTTCCATCTTTGCGGCCCTTATCCCGCTCGCGCTCCACGGGTTCGCCGTTCTTGTTCTAGCAGCCGGTTTGCGAGTTTGCGGTCGTCTCGCTCGCGCCGACGGCCGCAAACTCGCAAACCGACGGCAGTGCTGATGCGCACAGGGGGATAAATAGAGAGGCTGCTGCTTCGACGAAGCAGAGCGGTACGAGAGGGCGAGCCAAGAATCTCCAGAACCCCAGTAAATACAAAGAAAGACGGTTCTGGGATTTTCAGGTTTAAACATAGCGGTAAACTGACACGGAGCAAGCACCATCCCGCACTGGCGGTTCATGGCGAGTAAAATTCAAATGCAGCGTGAAAGTTTATTGCCTGTTAAATTCGCAAAAGACGCCGCGCTTTAAGCGATTTGACACATGATACCTGCATGGGCGTTTTATCGATTGACGCATTTTCATCGTTACGCTTGGAGATTCTCTCGTCAGTGTGTCAAGCAGAAACGTATTCTTCGTGTAATATAATTATCGTGTATTTCAAGCACAAGATATTATTATAACGCCCCGTCTTTGTCAGTACTTTTTGAAAAAAAAATCCTTTGCAATTACCAATAGATGAAACGCGTGAAATGCGATAACGTTGCAATCGTTGCGCAGCGCGAAGGAGAAGAATGTGACGAATAAAAGAATTAATATCTCGCGCGAAATAGAATTCCGTGGAAGGGACGATTCTCCGTGTCGTGGTGGAAATTCTGCCATCTGATTTTTCTCCGGGGGCCGACTACCGGCGTTGAAATTGGTGGCTAAATTAGAAATCGCCCCGGTGGCGGCGCCCCTGCGAAACGAGAGACCGCGCGCTAATGCGGTCAACTAAAGTAAAAAGCTAACTGAAGGAGTGGTAAGTAGACACTAACACTTCCGGGCGAGCGACTCGATATCGGCGGGGGTGGGCCCGCTCCGGCTTTAGCCCCGAATTAATTCTTCGGGGGTGGCTGGGCTTCCTCCATTACCGCTGGTGGAACGAGCGGCAGTAAAGTGTTCCGCCTTAAAAAGAATACGTGTACCTTCATCCTGACGCCTGTGTAGCAGAGCTTTTCCCCTCTCATTCGCCCTCCCCTTCCATCGCGCCGTTTCCTTCTCGCCCTTGATACGATGCAGTGAGCTCCATGAACATTTTAAGGGTAGTCGAGGATTTCCTCCGGGCTCGATATTGCCTCGTCCTGCATCAGAAAGTTACATCGACCATTGTTTTATTGTCCTAAAGCAGTGTAGAAGAATCAATTGCCCTTTTTCTCTTTTAATAGAGAGAGAAGTAATCGCACTGTCGAAATTGTTCGTGCAACAAACAAGGTGCACCGTTATTCGTTGCAGGATTCACTTCACGTCTGCATATATCCAATCGCACGAACACGTTTCTCGGTTTGCTCTACTCTACTTCTCTACTTGTGACTGTTCTTCGTTTCATTATTCTTTCTCGTTCTAAATATATTGCTCTCTTTCCCTCTCGCTCATTTTATCGTGTTCTTTTAGTCATCCTTATATTTATATCAATTTTTCCTTTCTGGTTTTATTCAGATTTGCTAAAGTACATTTTTACGAATGCTAAATAATTATCGAAAACGTTCAGATTACGCTTCGTATTAATTTTTTTAAACAAGAAATTTTGTGACAAATTATTGAATTCACTGAACACTGTCGAATTTATATAATAATATACATTTTGTAATAATGTAAAACGCCTTTTTCCGTTACTTCTTTTTTTTTACGTATTGTATTTAGGTTTCGTAGAATTTTCTCTGAACAAGCAAGGGCACACGTTGCCAGCATATTAGTTAGTAAGTCGTTAATCATGCTTCCGCGTAATTGTTTCGAGGCTCTCGAGGGTCAGGCTAGAATTTACGGCAACAAAAGTAAGAATTGTTTGAAGTTTGTCGGCTTTAGCCTTCACACAGAAGGACAAACTAATGAAGGATATGTAGAACTATACAAAAAGGCACATGTATTTCTTTTTTAAACGATTTATTGATTTAAAATAACTGCACTATTCATAGTCCGCAGAATGCCTTCTATATGGAATATTCTCTACGGAATATTGTCCATAAGGAATGAAACTAATTAATACAACTTTGAAACTAATTGTACTTCGCGCTGGTGACCTTCGTTAATGGCATCCGTTTCTATCCGCACTTCTATGAGCGAACAAAATGCGCGCGAGAATGCATTTGTTAAAGTCGTAGATATTAAAATGCCGCGTTTAGATCACTTTTAGAGAGCTCGTTCAATATCTTTAAGATTAAAAAAATATATAATATAACTTTTATTTTTCGCACTTTTTATATACAATTTTTTTAAATATTACGAAGATAACATTATTATATAGACGATTGACAAGAAGATCTTTTTAAAATACAGAAAATATATTTCAACTTCTAAGACCTTCGTCAACGGAGAAATAATATCAGAATATGGCACTAGCAGATTCTGTCGCGTCGAGTCTTCAATTTATTACCTCGTATTATCCGATGTCGTATTGAATATTCGATGCACGAGTGATCTCGGTGGATGAAGAAAGAGAGCACCGGCGGCGGATGTTCAGCGAGCGAAGAGATCGATACAAGCCAGCAGCGATGCCCGCGAGTTCCATATAATCGTGGAGGAGAGGAGAGAGAGAAAAAAAAATGAGCGGTAGTAGTCGCGTTGTTCGCGCAGCGCGCAAGCCGAGATAAAAGCGTTTACGGGGAAGTAACGCGGGGATGGTTCACCGACTGGGGCGTGGTGGGCACCATCGCGGCGGTATATACGAGGGTCAAGGTTAACATGAGAATCCCATATGCCAACATGGTGGTTGATGCTGCGAACGTATCAGGCACTCTTCTTTGTTTTCCGTGAGAGGGACAAAAAGTCTACCGTGAACCTCGCTTTATCTTAGTTTAATCAAGGTACCTTATTTAGAACTAATTGCGGTATTCCTTTTATATAGCTTTCCTTTTACAGGCTTATTTCGCATATTCATTTATTATGCGTTGGCCGATGTATTTCTATGTGCGTAAATAATTTTTGCACGTGGACATTTTGAATCAGTAACTCTATCAGTTGCTTTACTGGACGGATATGTATCAAAGTAGTTTGTGACGTGTCCAACTGAGTAATTTCCTTCTCAGTTGATTTCATGACGACATGTGGTATGTAGAATTTGCGATTGACGCTGCGTGATTACTACCATAAATGAAATAAGCGATGTGTGATAAAGGATCGAGCGCGGTGCTTATAACACGAATCAGAGGACAAAGCGCACAACTTTATGGCGAGCAGCACGTACTACAGGGATGATTCACTTCCAATAGGGGGTTTGCGATTGTTACGAGGGTCAAGGTTAAAGAGGCAGATTCACATGCGAAGCATTAGTTCGATCCGCATTTATACCGCTCTCTCTCTCTCTCT